GCATTCCTGTCTGATAGTGCCAGTGCTATGTACATATTCAAGGCTTTCTCCGATGTGCTCCAAGGAATGCTGCCCAAAGCTGTTCATGTCACCTGCAATGTGCATATTCTGTCCTTAGCAAATGCAGTTTTCCGCAGAAGATAGCCTAGTGTCATCTTTCAAGAAAGCCTTCAAACACTGTCCAGGTCATAAGGTCTGGAACAGGGAGTTCATAGCCAGTCAAGGTTGGGACTCTCATAGCACTGCCCCACTGCCACCAGAGCCCATAATCTGATGGTGGAATTCATGATTCAACATGACCCGTTACCCATTACCACACCAGGCATATGCAGCACTACCAGCAGTTGGTGAGCAAGGAGCTGGAAATCGCACCCAGCTTAAGCTTCGTGATGTCTTAGGTGGAGTTGACATTCAGAATCAAGTGACGTTTGTGGCTGCCAATGCCACCCAGTTCATGGAGTTCCTGATGCGTTTTGAAAGCTAGCAGGCTGTGATCCACCATGCACACAACAAGCTGATGGATTTGATAAGCTGGGTCGAAAGACAGGGCATTGCAATTACTGTCAAGCTGTCATCGTGAAAACCAGCACAGAAGGGACCTATTTCAGGGAATAGCTGTGAAGCTGAACGAGTACTACAGGTATGACCCATTACTGCCACTGCGGTTCAGACAAAGGGCAACCCCTTCCTTAGTGCTGTTCACAGTTTGGACCCCAACCAGGTGCCTGTTCTGAGTTGTGACCCTTGACTACTGAACACAATCCTGGGAAAGGGGATAAGAGCATGACAACCCACGTGCTGCGTACATGAACTTCATCAAAGAGTGCCAGATGCCTGTGTCTGTGTTCACGGGCTCTGTCTGTGACCTGTTTCCACACCTTTACTCCCTGGCAAGGTGCTGCCTCACCGCTCCAGTGAACTCGGAGAGTGCTGAGCATGCTATCTCAGCGTATGGACAAGTGTTCACCCCACAGAGGCCAGAGAACATTTCCAGCGACTGTGGCTGGGTACAGCATGCTCACATTTAATATCTAGCATGAACTGTCTGTCTCAAGGCTAGCATTCACTTTCAGTAAACTCCTTTTTATGTCTTTATTAAAGTGTATATAGTTGGTATTAGTTATAATTCATGTTGTGTATAGCTTTATTTTCATTAAGTGCTTAGTTGGTATTCGTTAATAAAGTATACACAGTTGGTATTACTTACAATTCATGGTGTGCATAACTATTTTAATAAGATATTTAATTTTAGAGCTTAATTAAGTGCTTAGATTACTTAATAACATGTCAATTAATGGCTTCTTGGGGGTTAATCCCCTTATTAAGCCTGTGGAAGCCATTAATTGACGTGTTATCAAGCAATCTAAGTGGCGGTTATTGGTTTCTGGGGGCTTAATCCCCTGATTAGGCTTGCAGAAGCCATTAACTGCTGCTTAGATTACTTAATAATGTGTCAGTGGCTTACCCAGGGATTAAGCCTGCAGAAACCATTGACACATTGCAATTTAAGCGG